TTCCACCCAAGGAGAGAATTGCAACCGGCGCAGTGCAAATCGGCCACTCGGTGCTGGCCGGTTAGCAAAAGACGATCCTCTGCACTTGCTGACTTCACGTTAACTACCTGTATGCAAAAAATATGGGGATGAATAATCTATTTTAGTGGATGTTTGGACAAGTGAGCGAGCCTAACCTTATCGAACAGATAGGCACGCCCCTGACTGCCTTGAAATGCCTTACTAATAAGGTCATTGTGATCGGCAAGATGCGCACGGCAATGAACGCAACTGTAAGTAATTGAAGACACTGATGGGTTAAGATACACCTGGAACTGTCGGGTCATTTTCTACCAAATTGGGAAAACAACATACGATTCCACATAGAGCGGTATTAGTGTGATCTATACTAACAAAATATAAATATGTTCGCCATTTTGTTGTAGACTTTGTGTCCAATATTTTTAAAAAAAGGTTTATAAGTTCTAAAATTACTTTAGTAGCTTGCAAGAGTATCTGTTTACACACCAAATTTTGCTTATTGGTTCTTTGCCTCGTTACTCCAGGTAGTAAAGTATTTGAAAGTAACAGATATAATGGTAATTCCTGACTTTTTTTGATGATAGCAGAAGAACTGTTTTGCAGTTTTTGTGGTAAATTCACCTGTTTACTAACCTTATCAGTAGCACAGCTGATTTTTATGGTTTCCTAAATTTATGGGCACAGAGTGGATAAAGGACCCGAATCCTGCAAGTCAAAATTCGTAAGTTTTGAGAGAACCTTTATTTCAAAAATCCTATTCTCACTTACTTGATCTTGTTATTTTGTTTTTAACCACCATTTCCTTATATGGGATTTGCTAAATGAGATATTTATTACTCATTACTGAGGGTTTTTAGCATTCCGAGCTTTTAGGGATAACCATGGGAATCTTAGCATGGTTATGATGCCTAGCCGCACATCCCGGGGTGGTCTGAGGTACCCGTATATCTAAACACATTGCTAAACAAAATAACAAGTCACTACAGATGTCTTTCACTCGTATTTTTAAAGTGACTTTGCATGTATTCAAGGGTGCCTGGTCACGTAGGCTATTAAGTCACTGTAGTGTAGCGTCCCGAGACTCCCTGAAGACGAAAGAAGACAAAATACTCGGGCAGAATATATATTCAGCGCAGAGAAGGTGTCTGGGCTATTGGCATGGCCCAAAAGGCCAGCCCACCCAGCGAGGTACAAGGGGGCTAATTCGAAGTACAAAAGTGGCGCCTCACCAGAACCGAGGGATAAACCACTATCGTATTACAGTAGATTATATTCCACTTGGGCAATTTCCTTTCTGTACGCTAGTGATGAATCTTCTCTCTTTCTAATGTGACCGTCGCGAGATTCAAGGTATAATCGAGATACTGCAAATGTATTTTGTACCCTAAGTTCAGGTTATGACTAGAAGTATAAAAGAAATTATTGCCCCATCTTTCAAATAACAGAGCCGAGGCAGTAAAATTAAAATATAAGGTTTAATTTAAGTGTTTGTGGTAGCGATGTAAATTAGTGCGAAATCGCAGCAGTTAGCATACGTTTTAAATTAATCAATTGGTACCTAATTCAAATGAGTCATTCTTTTACGATTGTATGGCTCCAAACTGGTTGTCTCCTTCTTGATTGCGTTTTTCCTCTGCACCCTTATGCTCTAAGACTTCAAAACTTGATTTTTAATCAGTGGAACTGAGGCAATTCTCCATGACCGCTCTTGCCAACGTTGGGCCTCAGTCTGCCTTGGAGTTGTCATGAAAAGTATGGGCCCGAGAAAAACTTGGCATGGAACAAGCACTATATAACCGAAGTTTACGCCCAAATCTCAAAACATCGAAGACTTAACAAGGGCAACCATGTGGGTAGAGAAGTTTGCTTGCCTACGCTTTTCAATGGAGGCCATTTTAAGCACTACTGATAATATTGGGTTAACATGTATGAGGTGGTTGACTTGCCCACTTGTGGTGTCTTCCTAACTATGAACCATGAACTTGACGTCCTTTCTAAATGGATATTTCAGCTGTAGGAATGCCAAATTCATCTAACCGAATGGTCCAATGGCTAATAAGTGCACTGTATATGCGTAGGCTATTTGGGCTCATTTCCAACAAAGTAGTGATGTATTTGTGAAGGTGGTGCCATTGTAACACTTTACCTGTTGGCTTAGCTCGCGGTCTTGGTAACGGGTCACTTAGGCCTCTGCCATTGTATCTTCACTGGGCCATCTGACCTCCGTGACGTGTCAGTAGTGCCGAAATCCTAATGTACGCCAACAATACATTTTCTGCATAATATCATGTCTTCACATTTAGGTGAGTTTCGGGGAGCTGCATTATCTCTTCCGGTAAAAGTATAGCAGGCCAAACTCCCTCCCCACTCAGGCCAATAATGGTGCAGCCTAGTTTTCTGATTCCGTTTCGCCCAATACCCAAGTTGTCTGTATGGTAGCATCATGGTGACGTCTCGTCATATCCATAAAATGTGTACTAATGAAATTATAATAAGTGCTGCGCTTTTATTCCTTTATTTGTTTAAAAAGATTTTGCATTTTCGTCTTCACTTGTGCAATCCAGAATTTTCGCAGATTAGAGATGTGTGACAAGTGGTCAAGTTACACCGATCCCCAAGCAGGAAACACATACTCATCCCTCCATGAAACTTTGGTTATTTGTGAAATTCCCCCATTCTACACAGCAAATGATGCCTCCCTTTAATCAATCTTCTCGGTTCATGTGTCTTAACCCTGTTGTGGAAGAAAAAATTGCAATAATTTTACCTATGTAAAAATTAATCGGTTGCATTGTGTAATATAATCAAATTTGACTGTTTATGTCCTTCTCTTGTGGAAAGTAATGGTGACCATCTTTTGGAATAAAGGTCTATTAAGCTGCACCTCAAATCATCACTGGGGGCATAATAAACTGTTTTGATGTGAAAGCAAAGAGAATGCTACCTGATTCATAATAGGTAGTCAATGCTCCAGTTTTGTCTGGGATTTCTAAGTATAATATGCTCTGATTGCCGGGTTGAATCAGGAAAGGAGTGGTTTGGAACTTGCAGTGAAGGCTGGATAATGTTCTATGGCGCCGATACTTCTAATGTCAATCACTTTTTTAGTCATGTTTGCTGATAGAGAAACATCAAGAGGGCGGTGTACATAGCTGCACTCATGGACACGTAGTGAGGCCCTCTTTAAGGCCAATTGCCCAGATTAGACGCGGTTTTAACCCTTCTGCATTGCATCCCCACAGGTTTATTCCTCCATAAATGATCTCCTCTCCCGATGAAGTCAAGATCTGTTGATCGGCAAATAAAGCGACCACTGTAGCCTCGCCATGCCCGTGCGAGTGAAGGCGCCTTATTAGCATACAGTAGGATGAGGAGGCTAGGCATTACAAGGGCGCCTGGCCGCTGCGAGGGAAATGCGAAATCTCAAGAGCTCCGCGTTTGGAAGCACTTTAAACCCTTACAAAAGTAGTGCAAGAAATCTGACTTGCCTTTGCCACACCATCCCTATCTTGACCTCAATTCATGAGGTCAAGTAGGGAAAAATGTGTTTGATTTGATGTTATTATGATGGATAAGTGAGGACAGGCACCCAATGCAATTGCAAACCATCCATACTCCAGTGGCTGGTCTGTTTTAGCAGCAACGGGATGAGCGTGTTATTTTACCATGTCCAACCGGAAGGGAGAAGTCAAAAGTTTCTGGCAAGGACGTCTACTGGGCGTGTACACGTACTGCACACTGTGACAACAACGGTGCAGGTGTTTTGGGCGTACCTCTGGTCATGTATAGGCATGAATGACCCCTATGCAAATGGGTCGTGACAAGGTTAGAAGAGTTGTTTTAACCTTGCAGATTGCAAGAGTCACCCATTAGACTACAGTGTCTTAACTGTCTGCTAGGGCTGAAGGTATGCCCAAACCGCACTTGAGGTTATGCTGTTCCCTCCGCACGCTCAATCCACGTGTGGTGAAGGGATGGTCACCGAAATAATGACATTGAGATCAAGTGATGTAATGCAATGCTCAGATGGTTTGTTTAAAACTGCATTTCGGTTAAGCGAGTATTTTACTCCCTACGATTGTACTCTCGCCCAGAGGCATGACTTCCGAGCCATTTTAGTAGCCACGAGGCTCTTCTGTAGGTCAGTAGCACATATTTCGCCGTGCTCCTATGACTTTTTATATCTTCAGAAAAGACTAAGAGCTGTACAAGAAGGTTGTTGTATAATTGTCAGTTGAAAAATCTTCTGCGTAAAGATGGTCCTACTTCTAAAATATTAATATTTTGTAAGTAGGTGTAAGTTTTCAATTTTATTAATCCTTTAGGCCCATTTATTTAGCTTAGAGTGCATTGACTTAATTAGCGATCCACTGTTGAAGGAAGTTCATGCCTTTTGATTAGCCACAAGAATAGCCTATTATCTTGAAAATATATATTAATTTCTTCCTGTTATAAGTAGTTCGACCTACACTACTCCCCAGCCAAAAACAAATCCGCTCATAAAATAATTTTGAAAGGCGACATCAACTACACCTAACCTCGGAAACCATCCATC